CAGAAATAAAGCAATACTCCAACACTATTTTGTTGATTTTAGCAATTTTGTATTGATGTACTATACTTTTTGAGAGAAGTTTGTGTTAGGTCTGGTCCCAATAAATTAACCAACGAGAATAATAGGATTTTTGCCAACTCAATTATGACAATAACAAAACAAATAAATCAAACGGAGAAATACGAAATTTTACATAGTTTGGTTTCGGTCAAATTGACCTACGTCCACGGGCGAAGGAGTAGCACATGTACTATAACAGAAAGAAAGTATAAAATCTAAGAAATAATTCCTAAGTCCAAAAGGCACGTAAAACTGAAAATACAAAAGAACCTAAATAACACAAATGCTTAGTGGCCCAAAGGCCCATAATTTGCTCTTTTGGTTTGATGCCTAATCAAAACTCCTCTTAAACTGAGATGTGGACTCCCAAAACTCTCTTGGATTGGTGCATACGGTACTTGGGTTGTTGTCATCAGGAATCCAAAACCTGAAACTGTGATACCAATTTGTTAGGTGGGAGCCAAATTGTTGTGAATTCTCCGTCATTTTCTCAATCAACTCCCACGCTCTCCAGGAGTTTTGTTCACCAGTGCTCCACCACTCGCGACGTCAATAATATTCCTGTCAAACAAATAAAGACTTTCATAAAAATATTGAATTAATAGTTATTCACTTATCTGATGTTGTGGGCATCTCATGCACAGTTTGTTGAATCTCTCCTTGTACTCATATAAGGTCTCCCCCGGCTGCTGCTTAATACCACAAATTTCCTTCCTCAAACTTGTAGCTCGGGAGGCAGGGATATACTTCTCCAAGAACTTTTTCTTCAGTTGCACCCAAGTTGTGATACAACTTGCTGGTAGATAGTATAGCCAATCTTTCGCCCAGTTTTTAAGAGAAAAAGGAAACGATCTCAGCTTTATTTGTTCTTCAGTAATCCCAGGGGGCTTCATACTAGAGCATACTACATCAAATTCTTGTAGATGCTTGTGGGGATCCTCATCTGAAAGACTATGGAAAGAAGGTAAGAGGTGAATTAATCCAAATTTTAATTCAAAATGAGTATTTTCATTTAAGTTTAGAAAAGTAATGCATAGTGGCTACTAAGTTAAGTCAGGAGCAGCCAACTCCCTTAATGTCCGATTGTTGGCCCTGGTAATTTCCTCCTCTTCAGAATCTCTAGTCTCTTTTTTTGACTTACATGTTGTCTTCTCTATTTCAGGAATATACACCAAATTTCCTGTACGAGAAGAACGAGGCATAAATGATCAAAATACCAAGAAAAAAATAAAGTAAAATAAAATAAACTTACAAAGAAACAAATAAACCAACGCCAATCCCCCGACAACGGTGCCAAAAATTGACAGGTGTCGAACCTGTGCAATAATAAAAACCTACTCAATAAAAAAATAAATTTTTTCTATATAGCGATGAGCAGGGTCGAATCCATAGGAATTGGGTAGAATTTGTTTCTTTTAGAGTACAGAGTAAGAGAGATTTTTATAAAATTGGAAACAAAAATAAATAAACAACCAGTTAATAAATCGTTAATTACCATGTGAAAAGTTGGTAATTTCCTTAATGTGATATTTGTTCGAATGAAAAAGTAAAGGAACGAAGAAGATGACTTGCTTCCTAACCGAATAAGAAAACCTACGTGACTAGTATATATACTAGTCGGTTTCCTAACCGAATAAGAAAGAAGAAAAAAAATAAGGCAACCTCCGATATTCCCATGCTTCTTGTTCTTGTTTCCTAATACTAGTAAACTATTAGTCAACAAAAGGGAAAGAATTGGTTCAACACAACTTGGAATCGGATTTGTCAATTTTTTTTGGAAGCTTCCCACGTGCACACAATCCCGAGATTCTGGACTTGACAGCATGACTTCAAGAAAATCACCCTTTTTAGCATTTTTCTGCTCCACCTCCTATAATTAGGTCTAAATATCAAATATAAGTAGAATCCGACAGTTTAAACAATATTTGGCAAGGATAAATGGGAAATTAATAACAAATTACACCCTATCATTCCTGTCTTGGATTTTGGTTGAATTATCTATGGATTGTTTGTGATATTTCTTGGGTTATTTGATGTTATTATTTTGAACAAGTTATTTAGCATTTTTGTTCTTATAATCATGATTAATTGGCCATTAATTGTGATCATTTCAAGGTGTTAGATTTGCAATAAAAATTAGAATTTGATACTAATTCATGGAAATGTTAAACCTAGGAAGTACACTCACGCGAGTAGCGGTGCACTTTTGTGGTTTTGGTGGCTTGTTCCATATAATTTAATAGAAACTAATGAATCTTTGGCTAGTTTCATAGTCATGAGAATAGGTATGAATTAGTTATAGGTATAGTTAATTCACTACGAGAGTAGGTTTGACATGCATAAGACAATTACACCATAGTTAGCCAATGTAGTAGCGTTGCTTTACAAGAATAGTTAGGGATACCATGATTTCAAAATCTTTCATTTGTTAATTTTCTTCCACATTTTAGCTTAATTTTATTTCTTTCAATTTGTTGATCGTCAAAATAATAGAAAAGTTTTAGTGGTGCCGATAGCTGTGTACTCTTCCTCGTGCGATCGACCTTTAATACCTTATATTCGCTCATGATTTATATACTTGAAGTAAAGTTTAGGGTATTTAGGAAATTATAAATTTTAAATTTAACTATAAATTGAGCTCTATTATTGTATATATACCCTGTGCTCGTCAGTTGGCACCACTCAATCTCTTTTACAATTTAAAAAAATGTAAAAGAAATGAAGTGCCACATGCAATTTAATGACAATAGAATTAAATTAATTCTAGCTCTTGAATGTTCCAAACTGTCGGCAATTTTTTTCCCCGCCATAGCCTCTTTCCACGTGGAAAACCTGGCTGATGGCAATTTGCCACCGATCGTCTACTAATATTTTTTTAAAAAAAAAACACGCACACACACACACGAAAAAGACTAGCCCAACGTCTACTAATATTAAACAAACAAACACACACACACACACACAAAATACTAGCAATAACATAGTTATAGTTATTAAACCCGGCCCGGCCCGGCGGTTCGACCGGTCAACCCGGCGAACCGGCCACTAAACCGGGCCGATTCTTCAATTGGATCGTTTCTGCATATGAACCGTTGACTTTTCAACGGACCAGCGATTCAACCGGATTAAACCGAAACCCGGCCGGTTTTGTGGGCAGACCGGGTTTGAGGTAAAAATGTTTGTCCAAGCCTTTGCTTGGATTCGAACTTCAGACCTTCGGTATTGTTTGTGCGTAGCTCACCACCAGGCCACTTTGTCACTTGTTCATTAACGGCCATTCTTATGCTATATGAATGTTTGGTTAATTTAATCTTTATTTTTTTAAACTCTCCAAAACAAATGTACTTGGAATCTTTTAATAAAACTTATGACCCTTATATTCTATAAATTATAAATTAGATTTCAAAAATAACATATTACATAATTTATTTTAAAGACAAATATTGTTTTTTAAATATTTTTTTCATTTAAAATTTGTAAATAACCTAGATCATTACAATAAACATCTACACTTGAAGTTTGGTGGATTACTAATTAAATTTATGTTTTGCTGATTCTTATATGAATTAAAAATTCTATAGCAAATTAAATGAAATGAATATTTATTATGACATTAGTTATTACAATTTATCTCATATATCCTATATCAAAATTTATAAAATATAATATTTAAATATATGTAGTGACCCACTGGTTCAACCACTCACCCACCGGTTGAACCAGTGACCCGTTGACCCACCTCCTTCGCCGGTCTCCTCTCCGGGCCGAGTTTAATAACTATGAGCAATAGTGTCCAATAAACCGGTTTGACAGATGGTTTCCAATTGATCCAAAGAGCTACTACTATCATAAGCCTCACGTGCCTTTGGGACCACACAGCTTTTTGCTTGTTCAAAACTAAACAAACATATCAATGCTTCCTTTGGCATCAAGTGGATCTTAGCAAAAGAATTTTGAAGAAATCAAAGAGAAATTAAGAATAAGAAAAATGAAAGTGACAGCCTCCATAAATAAAAAACTCTACAACAGAAAAACGAGTATTGCTATAAAATATGACTATAAAGGTCGTTGCTTCATATGGTGCCTCGTTCCACTAGTTAGAAGATTAAACTTTTTGAAAAGTTTGCTCATAAAGTAACCAAAGGAAGAAAGTTAATAACATATACTACAGGAAGAAAGTGCACGTCCAGATCAGTTAATTTTGTCATGCTTTAGACATATTGGTTGTCTTTGATTTTTTCAAGTTATTGTGTTGCTTTGAGAGTTATAATACCTAGGAGTATATAATTTTTAAAGCAATCAATCAACCATCTGATAATTTCGAAATATTGTACTTACAGCGAAATCTTTTTTTGTTTTGGCCGACCACATGACTAGGGATTGGAGCTGAATTAAAATACTGAGATGGGATGCATATAAGATTACCAAAACTAGCAAAAAAATGAAAAAAAAAAAAGTTTGGAAAATTTTTTTGGGCGGAAATATTTAAAAATAAAAAGGACTCCTGAAATTATTGCAGCCCTCGTCATCTGCTCCTGTATGTTGTGAACTTTGAATTCTTGGTACAGCAATTTTTTCTCAAAGCTTTAAATTTTTAACGATAATGTTTATGAAATTCTAGGTGGTTGATATTCTTAGAATTTTATATGAGATGGACCCTCAAGGTTTAGTACAAAAGCTTATTACATGGACGTCATATGCGGGGAAAGAAACTGTCTTATGTAGATGCAAACAGGTTTATAACATGGACTTTCGTGTAGGTGTTCTGCATCTATGTCAAGTAAATTATCAAACCGGACTTTTGCACGATAGGTGAGAACATGGACTTTTACATGATAGGTGAGAACATGGACTTTTGCAAGAAAGGTGAGAACATGGATTGATGATGATAACGACAGACAGACGATTTCAGTCACCTCCAGTCAGAATTGTTTTCTTGGATCTTCAACTCTATAAATTCCTGCACAATTACGACAATGGCTATCAGCTTTACAGCAAAAGTTTTCTCAAGAATTTCATTGTGGCAGATATCCAGCAAATATGTCAATCTTGAATTATTCCATCCGTCCAGTTAATTTAGTTTCTGTGTGCTTGGCCATCCTTCACTTACTCTTAAGTTCTGGAATTAATGCTGCTAATGATCAAATGCATGCAGCATCAAGTACTGGAAGTGAAGGGAAAGCTCTTTTAACATGGAAAGCCAGTCTTGATAATTATAACCAATCTAAGTTGTCATCCTGGTCATCTTCTGCAAATCCTTGCAGGGCATGGGATGGAGTTCGATGCAACAAAGCTGGACGAGTATCGGTGATTAACATCACTAGTTCTGGCATCGAAGGTACACTAGATCATCTCAATTTCTTGTCTCTACCCCATCTAACTACAATTGATCTTTCTCAAAATGCACTCCGTGGGACCATACCATCCAACATTGGGAACCTTTCCAGACTAACCTATCTTGACTTCTGGTCAAATCAATTGTCTGGTGCTATTCCTATTGAAATCAGCCAACTTACCAATCTTAGGTTCTTGTACCTTTCCGATAACTCATTCAATGGATCAATCCCTACTTCTATTGGCAATCTGACCAACCTGGCCGAGCTAGATCTAGGAACCAACAAACTTTCAGGATCCATTCCAGAAGAGATTGGGAAGCTGAAATCTCTGACGAAGCTCTCTTTAGCTAACAGTACGCTAACAGGTAGGATTCCTCTGTCTATTGGAAACTTAAGTGGCTTGACTCTGCTGTATCTTTTCCAAAATTATCTTTCTGGGCCTATTCCCAAAGAAATTGGGAACTTGACAAAACTAAAGGAATTAGATCTTTTTGGGAACCAGCTATCAGGACCCATTCTAGAAGAGATTGGGAAACTTAGATCTCTTACTATACTTACTTTAGCTAGCAACACGCTCACAGGTCCGATTCCTCTTTCTTTTGGAAACTTAAGTGGCTTGACTCTACTGCATCTATTCCAAAATAATCTTTCTGGGCCTATTCCCAAAGAAACTGGAAACTTGACAAAGCTAAATGATTTAGATCTTTCTTGGAACCAGCTATCAGGTCCCATTCCAGAAGAGATTGGGGAGCTCAGATCTCTTACTAAACTCTCTCTAGCCAACAACCCCCTCACAGGTCCGATTCCTCTTTCTATTGGAAACTTAAGTGACTTGACTCTGCTGTATCTTTTCCAAAATTATCTTTCCGGACAGATTCCTTCTGCCATAGGAAATTTAACCAATCTCATTGACTTGCGACTTTCTCAAAACAACTTATATGGGGCTATCCCTCCCGAATTGGGAACATTGAAGCTACTAGCTTATATTGATATTTTCCAAAACCAGCTAAGTGGTGCTCTGCCCGATGGATTCAACAATCTTACACATTTAAATGAGCTAGGGGTGTCTCAAAATAATTTTTCCGGCCATTTACCCGAAAATATTTGCATTGGTAGCTCACTGACGTGGTTCACAGTATTTGAAAATAACTTTGTCGGTGCTATACCAAGGAGCTTGAAAAACTGTTCTAGTTTACGAGTTATCAATGTCGCTGACAACCAACTGTCAGGAAATGTCTCTGAAGAATTTGGCATCTATCCATATGCAGATTATATTAATTTAAGAAATAATATGTTTTTTGGTCAGTTGTCTTGGAATTGGAGTGGCTATCTGACTTTGACAGAGTTGAGGATCTCCAACAATAATCTTTCGGGCAGAATACCAGCTGGGCTTGGAGAGGTACCTCGTCTGCAAAAACTTCATCTCTCTTCAAATCACTTGCATGGAAAGATCCCTAGAAGTTTGGGGAAGTTGACTTTGTTGCTTGAGCTTAAGCTGGATAGCAACGACCTTTCAGGCAATATACCATCAGAAATTGGTCAGATGTCTAGACTTTTAAATCTTAGTTTGTCGGCCAATAATCTTAGTGGCTCAATTCCAGAACAAATAGGCAATTGCACACAGTTGCTGGATTTAAACTTGAGCCAAAATGCACTCATCGATAGTATTCCTTCTCAAATCGGAAATCTTCCCTCACTTGCAACTCTGGATCTCAGCCAAAACATGCTGGACTCCAAATTGCCACCAGAGCTAGGTGAGATGAAAAGCATTGAGACGATGAATCTTTCGTATAATAGGATATCAGGTTTCATCCCAAAAAGCTTTGATCATTGCTTCAGTTTGATTTCCGTTGATATATCCTACAATCAATTGGAAGGTCCTCTTCCTAACATTAGTGCATTTCAAAATGCTCCATTCGATTCCCTGAGAAACAATAAAGGTTTATGTGGCAATGTTGCTGGATTGAAACCATGCTCTCAATCAACTCAAAAGAACACTAGTAGAACGACAACCAAAAGAATGATCTTTCTAGTTGTTGCTCCAATACTAGCAGCAACCATATTTCTTTTGGTCGTGGTTGTGGGCATCTTCATTCGTGCAAGGTCACATATGAGAAGCTTGGAGAATAAGCCTCAGGAATTCACTAGAAATATGTTCTCTGTCTGGAGTTTTGATGGGAAAATGGTCTATGAGAACATCATTGATGCAATAGAAAATTTTGACCCCAAGTATTGCATCGGAGTGAGAGGATTTGGAAGTGTCTTTAAAGCAGAGTTGCCAAGTGGTCAAGTGGTTGCTGTCAAGAAACTTCATGAAACGGATGGTAGTGCCTTGAGGAGGCCAAAAGATTTCACCAATGAGATCCGTGCGTTAACAAATACAAGGCATCGCAACATCGTGAAGCTGTACGGATTCTGTTCACATGCACAACACACTTTCTTGGTTTATGAATTCTTGGTAGGGGGAAGCTTGCTGCACTTGTTGAGCAATGATGAAAAAGCGGCCATGTTCGACTGGATCAAGAGGGTAAACATTGTTAAAGATGTGGCAAATGCATTATCTTATATGCATCAGAATTGTTCACCTTCCATTATTCATCGAGATATATCTAGCAAAAATATTCTGTTAGACTCTGAGCATCAAGCCCATATTTCTGACTTTGGAACTGCAAGAATCTTGAGGCCTGATTCATCTCATTGGACATCATTTGCTGGAACATATGGATATGCTGCTCCAGGTATACTCTTCTTTGCTCAAAGAAATCTAACTTGTCTCTTTACCTTCTCTTTTTCAACTAATCCATAATTACATAATGCTAGCATGAGCAAAGCAATTTATGCTTTTGGATTATGATTCAATACTCCAAAGGGATTCATCTGCACCATAGACTGAAGTGATTTTTTTTTTTTTTTTTTTGTGAATTGCAGAACTTGCTTATACCATGGAAGTAAATGAAAAATGTGATGTTTATAGTTTCGGAGTATTAGCTTTAGAAGTGATTATGGGCAAGCATCCAGGTGATTTCATATTATCAACATTGTCGGCATCATCATCTACTTCAACAGTATATGATATACTGTTGAAAGATATTGTGGATCCTCGACTTTTATCTCCGAGTAAGCAAGAGTCAAAACAAGTGACCTTGGTGGCAAAGCTGGCCTTGTCATGTATAGAACCCAATCCTCAATTGAGGCCGACAATGAAGCATGTGTGTGTCCTGCTGTCGAAAGAAATACCTTCTCAAGTCAACGTATTCCCAATGGTTACAATTGGACAACTTCTGGACCTTGAAATAACAAATGTTTGAGCTTCTCTGTGTATGTATCTTTCCTATCCTCTATCCAAAATTCCAAATTTTGTTGTTTGCAGCTGTAAATTTGGGGTAAATTTTACTTCGATCTCTCGTCAAAAAGTATAGAAATGCAAGTGTCAAAGCAAAGGTGAATTTATATTCAGAGTGTTACTTGGAATGAATTTCATATTTCAAAACTTGGTGAGCATAACTGCAAATCTTCTAATATTTGGATCTAATACTTTGAACATTTTGAGCCAGGCTTTGGCAGTGGAGCACAAAAGAAAGCATCGGGGTACTTCGCCCGTGATAGAGAAGTTTAGAAGAGTTTTGTGCATCAGGAAAGGCATAATGCTGGAGCTATGATATAGCTAATGCTTGTATAGAAAATTTTATTTGGATGTATGATCAATAAAACCAAATTATCTTCTAGTTAAGGAAAGTGGTATTTGCATAAACTTCTAATTAAGAAAATTATTAAACTCTTCTGTTGTGTGTTTCAGAAAAGCAAATATAGCAACGATTATAATGCGACATATATATAGTCTTTAGTTGTGCACTGGACCTGGTTTGAGTGTATATAGTCTTTTGTTCCAACTAGATTTTTTAATACTTATCATTCTCACATGTTAGTATGTGACAGCATAAGAGACTCCAACAACTAAGACTAGGATGATGTCTTTTTTTTTTTTCTAAGTATTGAATGCATAAGGTTCATAATTGGGAGAAGCTGTAACTGTAGGCGGATGACCTCCAACAGTTGCAGGGAAGTAATTGGATCTACATGTCAAAAAACAGAAATTTGAAAGGAAAACTATAGGAGAAAAAAAAGAAGTGTTACAACAATTCATCATTATTTTACTATGTTTACTTATTGGCTAACATGTTTGATTAGTTATGAATGTCTTGTTTCAAATAAGGAGAGTAATACATATAAATGCATCTCTAGAATCATACTGGGACTAATGTTTTTAACTCACTATATGTGTGTACTTATTAAGATATTTATGTGTTTTTTGGTAAAATATTAAAGAAAGTTAATTTTATTAAATGTCATCTATAGTCACTTGATTGTGGAATTTCCTAGAGATAATAGGAATGAGGAACTAGAGGATGAGGTTTTTTGGCTAGCTCAAGCGTTTCTATTTTAATGAGTACAGGATTTGATTGCAATGTTTCTTAGAATCATGTTTATGGAGCACATTTATTCCCACTGCTAATGATGTTTATGTCACCCACCAAAAGTGCTTAGATTGAATTGTAGGAACCGTATGTGAAGTTTTTTTCGATAGAAATGCTTTTCATCATCTTCTTTTGAATTTCAAAGTATTTGAAAGTTTACAACCAATAAAATCGAGTTGCAATTGCTTAATTCAGAATGACACATTGGATTGACCTGTTACTCTTTGAATAATTATTTTAAAAGATTTGGAACTTCTTAATTATTTATAATGTTTGAATACTGAGTTCCAATGCAACCTAGTTACTGATCCATTACTGTGTAGTATCATAATCTTAATGCACACTATGTTATTGGACATTTCATCCTAGAATCAGTCAATCTTGCTGGACCTATAATTGCCAAAACTATTAGCATCAATTTTCAGCTTTAAGGAAGTAATTACACAAGCTAAACAGGAATTAAAAGATAAAAAAATATATAAAACAAAATCTCAATTTTCTCCAAATACAAAAGAGGTGGAAGGGAAAAAATAAATAACAAGAAACAAAAATGATGGAAGGGAAATATAAAACAAGTAAATAAGAAAAAAAAATACCAAATTTTTTGACTACAAATATCATTATAGGTTTTTAAAGCAAATCTTTAATCATATTTTTTACTTCTAATTTATCTATTTTTTAATTTCAATTTCTTCTTTTTCATATTTGGAGGAAAAAAAAGGAGTGAAAGGGTAAATTTGTCAATTTATTATAGCTTGACTTTAACTTTTTACTATTGACCTTTAGTTTTAATAAAAAATACTAATAATGATACTTTAACCCAAACTATTAGGGGGTTATATAGGTTGTTTAGATCATTGGGGTTTATGTGATAAATCACCAAACTATAGGAGGTAAAAGGTAATTTATCCTAAAATTCTTGTTTGCCCTCCTAGAACTAACATTCTTCAGGACATTCCAATTAGCATGTATACTCATACTAAAGGCATCTCGTGCCAGGGCTGCATAGGCAAGGCCCCTAGAAACTTAGTTGAATACATAGTAACAAATCATTTTGGTACATAACGAATAGAGATATAGGAGAAACATTGAGTATCAAAACAATTAAAAATTTGTTGTGAAAAAAAATTCCATCCATGAAGTTAGTCCCCTATTTTTTTTTTGTAATTTGGACAAAGATTTGTTAACCAGCATTATGTGTTCACAATGGTACAAAAAAAGAAAAGAAAACAAATCCATTATCAGTGCATTGTCGGTTTAATAACAATATAATTTTTAGTTGTAACTAAACAAAAAGCAATCATATTATTTCTAGCACTTTAATAATTAGAAAAAGTTTAGAAAGTCACCGAAACATATCATAGTCTTCAACATCAATAAAAACATACAAACTTGGACATTTTCTTTCTTTTTGAGTGAAAAAGCGAGCTAATCAACTCATGTAATTTCTGCTTAATAGTAACAAATAGGTGAGACATATAAAAAAACTATGAATTGCCATATTTCCAGATCTACATATACAAATTTGAAACAACCGTTAGTTTGATAGCAAAAATGTCTTCTTAATTAAAATTGAATTTTCTAATAATAGTTTATCGAGCAACACTTTAGGTTGAAAGCCTCAATGCTAACTTCCACCACTAACTACAATCCTTTGACAATCGCAATCATTTCAACTAGTTAAAATATAATATCAAACGAAACTCTATCAACTCTTTCAGCCAAATAATAATGATATGTCATGTTCCATGCCTAGCAATTATCTCAAACTCTAATTACATTATCTATCATTAGGGACAATAAAAAAGAATAAGAGTACAAAGTCATATAGAGCCGTTTAAACAAAAGATTTTGAAATCTAATTTTACACTTCTTTTATTCTCAAGATATTATTTGTTAAAATTTAAAACTTTGAAAATAAACTACCTATCATAGATACAGGCTAGTAATTCAAAATGAAGAGATATGAAATATTTTCTTCACATCCAAAATTACTGGCCCCAATAATTATTTTACACATCATCCACTTTATCCAGTAAATAAGCACTTTTCATTATTAAGAAACTTTATATAAATCAAATATCAAAATATAGTTATCTATCCATAAATTAAGAGACTTTGATTAATTTTGAATTCAGCACGTCTCACCATTGCCTTTCTAGCCATCATTTATCTTAGACTTTCACTTGTCAGATTCTTCCCCCTCCACTCTAGCACTATTATCCTCTTATCAAATAACAATTTTAATAAATAAAAAATTAAAATTGGAACGAATATGTATAATGGCATTTATTATTTTATGGGGGAAAAGTAGTTACAATTCTTTTATTGTCAACCTAAAGATTCTTCATGTAATCACCACCAATCCTCATTTTAGCCTTAGGGAGTTTTTAAAATAAAAATAAAAAAGACCAAAAAGTAAATTCAGAATAAATAAAATTTAAAAAACTTAAAAAACACGTTTCTTTAGATTTAGTGGGGGAAAGTATTCACAGCATCACATACAAACTTCAACTTGTCTCTTTTAGGGGAAAAAAGAAAGTCAAATGAAGGAGAAAACTGTAAGAAAAGAAATAAGCAAAGGTTTCTAATCAAGAGATAAAAAGTAACAAAAAATATTAAATAGTACATACCAAAGAGTGACTTTAAGAGGAGAAAATCATGAATCATGATTATTGGACTAAGTAAGAAAGGAAATGTCAAACTTTTCCTTCAACTCCTATAACAAAACCATTTATTTAGTTATATATGGACAAAATTGAAAGAAAATTCATCTACTAATCCAATAGAGAAAAAAGCAGAATAAATGATTAGAATGAAGGAGAAAAAAAAGAAAGAAGTACAATGTGGAAACTAAATGAAAAAGTTGTAGTGTAGGAGAAAGGAAATAAGGTGATAAAAAAAAGAAAGAAAAAAGAAGAAAAAAAATATGAAGATAACTTCCTCAAAAGAGAGATGTGCCATGTGTCAAAATGAATGAAAACCACTTGACAATCAATGGAATTGTTACAGTAACTCAACTTTCTTCTTATATAATAGACAGATATATTGCAATACATGCAGCAGAAAAGGAGCAAATTGAATATATTTCAACAATCTAACTAGTCTAACCCCCTATTTTTAAAAAATACACATCGTACGAGTTATCAAACATTAGTGGCTCCTAAATCCATTGGCCATCAAATCCCAACCTTTCTAGATGTAAACTCGTACTCTAAAAGACAACATCATAATGCACACTATATTATTGGACATTTCATCCTCAAATGAGTCAGGCTTGCTAGAACCATAATTGCCAAAAGCGTTAGCATCAATTTTCAGCTTCAAGGAAGTTATTATACAAAGCTAAATAGCAATTAAAAGATGAAAACTTGAAAATCAAAATACATTATTCACTCCACTTTTAACAGTAAATTTATAGTGTGTGTGTGTGTGTGTGTAAGTCTACGAAATGACCATCATACATTCCCTCCCTTAGTGAGTGGGTGAACGCAGGATTTTGGACAGGGACGGTCATCCAAAAGGCTGCCTTGAACGATTCTCTCACAAAACTAAAGAAGTGGCCATCATCAATCCACGTTGACAAGGTTCAAAACAGAGTTGTTTTGATTAGTGAGCAGGGAAAAAAAATACTAAAAAAATATGTGTGAGCCTAACGCCTCCGTTACCAACCATTGAAACTCTATTCCACAAAATCCTGCCCAAATTGACTCGCTATGACTACTCATTTTAATTCTTCAAAAGAAGAACTCTTTTTAGTCTCCCTCCAAAAAGTCATCAATATTCATCCACAACATTAGAACTAAGACGAAATACATCAGTGAGTAGGAAAGTTGCAAACAAGGGACGGAAAAAGAGCAGTCAAAATACACTTAGGAAAAGGAAGAACTACCTATTGAAGGAGACAGTCTTGGAGGCCTAACATCTATAAAAACTTGGGGAAGGTTAGGACTGAACAATGAAGCTAAAGATGATAGAGTCCGAAGCAATGACACCCAATCGCATCTATGTAAATGCTACAGGTAACAATATTGCAAGCCAATGACATAATTTTCGTTGTTTGGTGAATGGCATCCCATGATTTTATATCATGGTTGTGGAAACCCTATGGATGTTAGAAATTAGATCTGTTAATGGCCCATATGGGAGAGTAAAGTAGAGAGAAATTTTGCACACCAATTGTTTGCAAAAATGAAAAGGAGAACTTCCAAATCAATTAGTAGGAGGAGTTGTTAGGAAGGGATAAACAGAGGTAATAAC